ACAGGCAGAACGTAATGCATATTAGAGTTCCTACCATTCACATCAACACACATATCAACCAACTTATTAATTTCTATGTAGATCTTAGATCCTCTTTCGTTTAACTGTTCTCACTATGGATACATGGATTATATATATATATATATATATGTATATATATATATATATAAATGTATATATATATATATATATATATTAGGAATGCGACGGTTCCGAATCCGGATTCGGATCCGAATCCAGGGATTCGGAAAAGATTCGGATCCGCGGATCCTAAATTGAGGATTCGGCGTTTTACGGGTCCAAAATCAACTTAAGCGGCGAGAAAATTTTATCGATTGAGGGAAAAAGTGAATCTAAATATCAACATTGATTACGTAATAATCATTTAAAGTTATGAAAACTGATGTTTTTGAGATTCGTTTTGCACCTCTACAAATTTAACATTCAAAACAAAAATTTGATTTTTTGTAAACTTTATAATCCATTATTGCGCATTTTAAAAATAAAAACTTTTTTATTTTAGAAATTCAGCTTCATGCTGTGAAGTTGTGACGATTGGGATGATAATGATTGCGCGATTGAAAATATGCCGCCTGTATATTTTGTGAAATTGTGATGATAATGATTGCGTCTTTGAGGCGTGCCGCCTATACATATCTATATATTTTACTAGTCATTCTATGCATGTATATTTTGTTATTTGATATGCTATATATGCGACGCTGCTGTGCTGTATCGTTTTTCTGAGTATAGGAAAAGAGTATAGATAGGAGTATAGAATTTTCTATGATATAGAAAGCGTTATGTAGGTAGGGCGGTAAAAACATATAAAAGGCCGCGAGTTGAGATATAGAGAGGCTGGTCGTTTGTTATCTTAATTTTAGGTTTTGGTCTCTTGCTTGTCAGTTGTATTATTAATAGATTAATTTTGGACTTATCGTTTTGTTTTAATAAGGACAGAGGTTTGATTTGTATTATTTTGTTTGTTATTTTATTTCTTTTATTGAATAAAAGAAGTGTACACTTGAAGTTTGGCTCGACTTAATTATTCTACCTAAAATAATGGATGTTGAAGAAGACTTGTTGATAGTTGACGAGGTCGGCGTCTCTAGTCAACAAGCAGGGCGCGAACAAACTTCCGCCCGGCCCGTGTTTTCAGACCCTGAGAGGGTCTATTGTAGAGTGGCGGATCCCGGCCAGGAAAGACTCCGCCGAAGCGAAGGCTCGGGTGGATATTCGTATGCGGACGCGGTTCGGGACCGCGTGGTGCGGAATTCGAATGTCGCCCGGCGAAAATCTACACTACTACTACTACTACTACTACTACTACTACTACTAGAGTCATCTCGCCTAAAGACCACTTTACATGAGTCGAACATACTCGACCTGCGGATCTTGTCGGACCTCTTGTGATAGAGGGCCTTCACAAGTAAGGCATACAGACCTCCTGAAAGTAATACTATTATTATTACTACTATTGATACTATTTTTATTATTATTATTACTGTTATTATGTTAAATTATCTTTTATTTTAATCTTTTAACTGTTATAATAATTGATCATTTTATATTTAATTGTAATTTTCATCTATATTTTGGCTTTTGAAGAAATAAAAAAAATCTCAAATTTATCATTATTTACAATATTTTGGCCGATTTCTCTGGATGAAAAATTAATTAATAGTGTTTTTCGCCCGTCATATAGTATCTATTGTGACAGAAACACTACTCTCATACACTTGTCAGTGACAATGTGCATGGAGGATAGTACATTAAAATTGACACTACTATAATTTTTTTTAAATTTTATTTTGATTTTATTTTGACTAGTCTTGATGTTTCCCGATAATAAAAGAGTTCACATTATTACCATTTTAATGGATTTTCTTTTTATAAAATTTTTTTATAAATTTTATAAATTATTTACATTTTATTTATTTACACTCTAATAATTATTATTAATAATTTTCGATTGATTTCATTTTGATTTTATCTTTTTGATAAAATTGT